GCAATTCACCACTAGCGTTGTTTAGAAATAAGAAAAACAAAGGCTGGGCCCAGTGGCTCACGCCTGTAATCCCAGCACTTTTAGAGGCCGAGGCGGGCAGATCACAAGGTCAGGAGATCGAGACCATCCTGGCTAACACAGTGAAACCCCGTCTTTACTAAAAACACAAAAAATTAGCCGGGCATGGTGGCGGGCGCCTGTAGTCCTAGCTACTCGGGAGGCTGAGGCAGGAGAATGATGTGAACCCAGGAGGCGGAGCTTGCAGTGGGCCAAGATCGCGCCACTGCACTCCAGCCTGGGCGACAGAGAGAAACTCTGTCTCAAAAAAAAAAAAAACAGAAATAAGAAAAATAATTTTTTTAACTCTATGATAGATCATGCAAAACCTGGAAAAGTCATCCACTACTTATTTCATTTTCTAAACACAAAAATAGAGAATTATTTTCTTAAATGATCTGATTTATACTTAAGAAAAAGCTCTCTTAGGAAAGTTAAAGGATTCTGTCATGAGGGTACAAACGTCAGTGCACAGTCAAATGTTAAGTAGTTTATTTCTTCTGTTCTAAAAACATAAGGCCTATAATGTTAGCTTATAATTTCTACTTACATCTTTCTTAAGATCAAATATAACTACCCTGGAAGTTTTGCTAATCACAATTTTTAAATCTGCAAGAAAATTTCTTCTTTGTGCAAAATTATTTTGTAGTTTTTATTTAGCTACAGTTTTATTTGCTTCCTCCAATAGAAATCCCAGGTGAGAAAAGATTTTTGAGATAATCTGATACCCTCCCCCTTGAATGACAGGAGGGCTATGGCCCATAAAGGGCTGGGTTATGCACAGCTGAGGACTATAACAGCCAAGCTAAAAACAACTCAGCCTTCAGTAGTTTATTATTTTGTATTCAAAAACCAGAAGAAGACTTCTTTACCACTAAACAGTAGTGTGCCTTAAGAGAAGTAGCTGAGTTAGTGCTTCAGTATTGTTTCTTGACAGGATGCCCCAGTAATCCTTAGATGATGCTACAGTGAGGACCCAGCCTTTTGTGGCTGGCCTACATCTGCAGAGTCTTAACAGCTATTTTCACAACTTGACCACAACTCAAAGAGTATAAGGTAGAGAACTCAAATATCTTAATGTAGATATCCACTTGTAGGCAGTAATAGCACTACAGATCATTTTTAATTTCCAAAAGGATCACAGACTTTGAGAGCTTCGGTTTAAACGTAAAAAAAGGTAGGTCTGGGGATTTTGGACTTTCCTTCTGAGGAAGAGTAGAAGAGATCCAATGGAACCCTTAAAGATACAGGTGCAGAGTGGAAAAATATTTAGGAAAAATGGAGGCCGTATTTGAATGACATTTTTAGGTCACCAGGATCTCCTTCAGCAGCCTTGATCTGCCAAACTGTAAGCTCCTTGAGGGCCAATGCGCTTTCTTACTTTTCTTTGTTTCCCTGGTGCCTACCAGAGTTCCCAGTATAGAGCTGGGACTTAGCAAATTATGTTAAAATGTGATGGTAAAAACAGATGGGAAGGCTGATCTCCAGAGACTAGAAGGAGTGGCTGTAACTAACACACAGTGAAATAGTAGCTTTGTCCTGACCCAGAAATGTCCCAGATATATACAGAGTTCTATGCTTATTTACACAACTTTAACAAAGAAATAATAGAAATAATAAATAATATTAAATTTCCCAAAGGCTCCAGGACTTTACATCTGAGAAAGAAAACAGTTTCCACATAGGCTCTTGGGTTTGTAAATAAGAAAATATTGTTGGAATGGAATGTAGTTGAGCGCAATCAAAATTCACTTTTTGTTCTTCATATTTCTAAGGAAAAAAAGGTGAGGAAAAAACAAACCAAATAAAGGTAAAAACTCTCAAAAAGACTCCCCAGTTCTATATCTAGCAATAGGTCAAAAACGGAGGCTACAAGAGTTTTTAGATTTCTTATGAGAAACTCTAGTAAGAAAAATACAATGACTCATTTCATAATAATGCCCTTTCTTCCCAAAGTACACATCACAGTTCCCACATCCCTAGCACATGGGCACTCTGTGCAGAGCTATTGCAACACAGAGGATCTCCCTGCACCAAAGTCCCTGAGTGGACAAGAGAAACGCCAACAGTGACAGCAGGGACAGACCTCCCTGGTGCTGCGGTGCTTAGGGGCAGCGTGGCTGCATTCGCTCTGCTCCGTAAAGGAGGGGGATTACTCCCTTTGTACTGCCTGATCTGGAACAGCAGTTCTTTTGTGCAACTACCTTTAAGAACTGGGGAGCTAAGTGCAGCTGGCTTCCTTGTCTACAGGTTGAAAGAATCCCTTGACAGAGTAGTTTTGAATAGACGCTCCCAGATTTCCTAACCAATTGTCACTTAGACATTGAGAATCCAAAAAAAAAAAAAAAAAAAGATGAAGGAAAGGGAAAGTGTGCTCTCAAGGCTACAGCATGAGTAAGGCACCCAGGCTGTTGCTCAAGTACTAGTTCACTCCCCTGTCACTTCTGTGGCTGCAGAAGGGTGAGTTAAGTCAACAGTTATACAAAAACAACTGAAGTTTACTGCCAAGAAATCTCTCCAATATAGCTACTGCGGGCACCAATTTTCCCAGCCTTGCCCAGTCAGATGTTCTTGAGAATCGCTATCAAGAGAAAATGACACGGCTCCTGCCCTTTGGTGAATATCCATGTAAAGTGATACAAGAATTCAAAGCTTGAAGGAAGTCCAGGGAACACTCACAGGAGCCTGACATCACTGGCTTTGGGCATTTGAAGTATAGAACAAGTGATAAGAATGCCTTCTCTCAGGCAGAAGGCAGTTCTGGAAGGGAAGGGCTGTTTATTGATCCTTAAATAGCTGAGACAGGCAGACTCTGTAGAGGTCAAATATCAATGAGAATTAAACTACAAGACACTTCTGGTGGAAGGATGGTGTAGTTGGCTTGATGGGCCATTTGTGGGAGAGGGACCTTTACTTGACCTGGGTCTTTTATTGCTTCTAGTAACAACAGGCCTGAGGAAGTGGTGGGCTGGAGGCCTGTGAGGAGGGGAGGTGGCAGAGGTGAGCAGGCTAGGCAGAGGGACACACAGAGCTTGTGCCCGGAGATGAAGCTGTTGAGTAGTACCAGGCTGTAGCTGACATATGTGGCTGGGAAAATGCGTATGTGAAGGGACAGAGGTGGAGTAAATGAGCAACTGAAGAGACAGAAACTGACCACAACTAAAGACAATCACTCAAAACAAGGAACGAACCTCGTGATGGAAATGGCATTTTCCTCATAAGTTAATATGGTTAACTCTGGTCATGTTATCGCTGGTTATCAGAACATTTTCAAGATAAAGAAACTGAACTCAGTCATGTAAAAGGCTCAGACTGGTGAGATTTTCAGAATGAAAATTCTCAATGTTTAGGAAGTCCTCCAGATTACAGGATTTATATGACAGCCGCTATAGAAAACTTACATCTGTATAAATACCAAGGCCCCTAAGGGGGATAATATTTCATTTGTATTGAGATGTTTTAATCCCTCCTTAATAATTTAAGATACTAAGTATTAATATTGCATATCAGATAGAAGATCTAATTTCTCCTGTATTTCACTTGAAAGTAATAATACTTTCTGGAACAGTTAATTGTTGTTTTCTTAAACCATAGATCAATTTCTTCCTTGCTCTGAATCAGTTAAGCTATATTATAGTTTAGATGTATGCCCATGGCACTGCCACTTTAGTATTTATTAGTTTACGAAGATAACTCAACATCCTGGACATATTTCAAAGGACAAACTTACTGCTTTTCACCAAATTTGCCTCATTCATTTAATGTGTATTCTTTTTAACTGATGGATGAAGAAGAGGAGATATGAACCACACTGGCTGTTGCAAAGCGTTCCTCTGCACCAAACACAGACATCTAAATTTAAATACAAGTTCTCTGCTCTTTACTTTTCCTGGGTCTCTACTCACCCTTGTAGCCTCTGAAACACTCTTCTTACGTATTTATTTAAGATGAGATAAGAAGCTGGTTTTAGATGATGTGGGCCAAATTTCAGATTTCATATGGATTAAAAAATAATAAACATCAAGGGTAATCTAATATTCCCATAAATTATTTTAGAAGCATAATAATCATGTCATTCTTCATGGCCCGGTTAATGTCTGCTGGTTTTTTTTTTTCTGTTTGTTAAAGATTCAAGTCATATGTCCCTGTTCGTTAAAGATTCAAGTCATACGTTCAAAAATATGGAAAAAAAACTCTGTGTAGAAGTCAGGCAGACTGGACCGTGGCTGCAGCAAACACACACACATGCAACGAGGAGATTCTCAAGTGTACACGTTCAGTTTAAAAGACAAAGCAGTCAGCTGCAATTCTGAGTCAGTTTTCTTTATCTATTTGAAGAGACAACTCCAATAAAACAGAAACAGGCCCTGTTGGAGCTCAAGACTTAGCATGAGAAAAAGGAGACAGAGAAGGAGACAGACAGAGAGAGAGAGAGAGAGAGAGAGAGAGAGAGAGAGAGAGAGAGAGAGAGAGAGAGAGAGAGAGAGAAAGAGAAAATGAACCCTATCAGCTGTGAAATAATACACTGGGGAAAGTACTGGTTCTCATGAAAATGTCGGTGAATCACCATGGAATAAAATTAAAAGCCACTGACCCCAATGAAAGCCTCCAGTGGAAACATGTGGATTTTGCTTCATTTCACGTAAAGACTTTTCTTTATTTCATTTAAACACTATCATAAGCACCATCAAAGCTTTTGTGATGTGCTGCTTTCTCATTTACAATTGATATGGAAAAGGTACTGCTGATTAAAATGGTCTTCAGGAAAAGAAGAACAATGCACAAATTAGTTGATATAACCATGTAAAACAGGTAGCGCTCTTCTTGTTCCCTTAAAAGGGTGCTCATCAGCTGAACGACAACAGCAGACAATTCTTTTTTTCTATTTTTTGCAGTAACTCAGCATTTAAGCAGACTTATTTGTAGAATTTTTTCATACTCACCAAACCTTCATTCTGATTTGCTAAAAGATCACGACTGAATGCAAGCTGACTGACACAAACCACAAATCTGTCAGGGAATACATGGAGTTCTGTATAAAATGAAGAAAAACGAGTTTAAAGGCGTCAAAAAACTCTAAACACAGAATGGTTGTCCCAGATTTTTGTTCATTTTAAGTTACTGCAATATGCAGTAACAATAGAAAACACGCATCTCCCCTCTCCTCCCATCCTTTCAGCGTTTGCCAGCAATAGGGCAGGGTGAGCGCAAAGCTCTAGGGAGAGCTGACCAGGCTGCAAATGGGTCCACCTGCGCCCCGGGACCATTACATTGCAGGAAACCCCCAGGCAGAACCTCTGCAGCCTCCCCTCTGTGTCAGTTGGCTGTTTGCTGATTACAACTCCTATTTGGAAAATAGGATCAATGTTTTCAAAATGAGCATGTAAGACTTATAGAGGAAGAGGAATATTAGATAAAATCTAAAAATGTGACCTATCAATGTTTTTCCTAGTTACTTTACTTATCATCTCCTTGGTCAGCTAGTCTTAGAGAGGTCCCCGACCCTGGAGGGCAAACTACTAATCTGAATCAGGCTGGGAAAACAGCAGCTTCTCTTAGGAATTAATGAACCAACTATTAAGAAAATGGATAAATATACAATAAAGATGGTAAAATTACACCATACTCATAGTAATCTATTATTGCTGCTTCTTAAAACAAAACCACAACTTCCCATTGGGAAAGACTGAATGAATCACTGAACTGGACTCCTCGGCATTCAATGAAAGGAACGCAAGGTAGTAATGACATCCGGATCTTTCCTTCTCTCATCTGTCTGTCCATCCATCCATTTGTTCGCCAGCCTCCAGCTACCCAGGCGTGATGTCTGGAGTGATGCTGAGCTGATGCCAACAGTGTATGTTCCAGGTGGGTGGGGAGGGGCTCTTCTCCCTTTTTCATACTTGGTTGTACTGCTTGAATATTTTTATGATACACATGTCTGATACTTGTGATAGAAATCAAGTCATTTTTCTAACAAAGAAAGCTTCCCTCTTACATGAGACCAATTTTTTTTAAAGATGGATATTATGAATCAGGTGAGTAAAGCCTTTTAGGTACATTGCACATGATGGCAATGACTGTTTGAGGTAATAACGTATCTCAATTTGATATACCGCTTAGAAGCCAAGCAAGAAGGTGTCAATTGCATGGACACAGAATTTAAACAAGTTACACCTTATACTACTAGACTAGCTTAAATGATCCCAAAAGGCCTAAGGAGTTGTTGTTCCAGTAACAGCTCTCTCCTTATCCTGTCAACCACTGCTGTCTCCTTGGCAGTCACCTGCCTTATTCCAAGTTATCCTATTCAGAACAGCAGGTTAACAGTTCTAAAAAAAAGAGCTCCACTCATCCTGCTCCAAAACCTACCATGGCTCCCCAGTGCCCAACATTCCAAGCCCTCCATGATTAGGGATTAACCTGTTGTTCTGGTCTCACTCCCAATTAGTCCTCCTCATGAGGAAAGCCCCCATTTCAGGTGGGGGCCTGGGTGTTTTTAAAGTTTAATCCCATGTGGGTATGATATCTGGCTAGGTGACTAGAGATGGACTTTGAAAAGCCGGAACAAAATTAGCAAAGCAATTAATATTTATTCATTAGTTCTTAAAAGATCTTATTGAGATAAATGGTAAATAGCCTTTTTATCATTTTATGAGAGGGGAAAATGAGCCACAGAATTCATTATTTGTCCACCTTCCCCCCACAAAAAAAAAAAATCATAAAATTGAAATACAACAGTTTATTAGTGGATCAGAACTGGAATTCAAAATTATCAGTTCTATCAAATAATTCCTCTGTATTTGCATTTCTTCCTCTGAAAAGTAACAATGTTAGAATGGCAGATTTTAAACATTTTGGTGCCAGGTATGAACAGAAAGCAACTTCTGCACCCTTTTGTTCTGTTTAGGTCATTATTGAGAGTTGCATTATTTTAATATTTAATTAAATATTTAGGCAATGATAGTCCTTTGTACAGATACAAGGTTAGCTGACTTATTTTATGAGAGAGTTGAACAAAGTGGAAGGCCTGTTAAGAAAGCAATATATCTGAGGCTGGGTATGTTGGCTCATGCCTGTAATCCCAGCACTTTGGGAGGCCAAGGCGGGAATACAGCTTGACCCCAGGAATTTGAGATCAGCTTCAACATAGTGAGACCCCTTCTCTACCAAAAATTAAAAAAAAAAAAAAAAAAAAAGAGAGAAAAAAATTAGCCAGGCATGGTGGCACACACCTGTGGTCCCAGCTACTTAGGAGGCTGAGGTGGAAGGATCACTTGAGCCTAGGAGGCTGAGGCTGCAGTGAGCCATGACTGCACCACGGCACTCCAGGCTGAGTGACAGAGTGAGACCTTGTCTCAAAAACAAACAATAGCAAAAAAGAGAGTAATATATTCGAGCAGAGTTTATAGTTAAGAAAATGCAGATAATCATGAAGATTCCACAGCAAGCCTCTACACAGTTAATTTTTTAAAGTTCCTATTTCATGTCTTACATATATATATACTGAAATCGTCCATGGAAGGTGACCTACATTTTCTTTCCAGTGCTCAGATCAACCTGGAGAAAGATCATTAGCTTCTGATTTTACTGTTGCTGGCTGGACAAGTTTGAAATCATATCCTTAGGGGACATCTAGACTTGGGGAAGTGACGTGGGAAAGTGGCCTCATCACACACCTAGGGAAAGCTCTGAGAGCTCTGGGCTGGGAAAGAGCTTTCTTGTGTACACACCTGCTCCATGTGCCAGGGCCTTGGTGTGCACAGACAATATTGAAGTGATTCATAGTTCAACTGTGTTGAGTCACTCTGAAAACTCAAAGAAAGTGCTGAGATGCATCAGGAAAGGAAAGCATGATGTGGCCCGGCTCAGTGTTCTCAGAGAGGCAGTAAACACAGTACAAGCTGGGAGGAAAGAAATCACAAACTTTCGGACACACTCAAGGACATGAAGGCAATGAAGCAAGAAGGACTCTCCATTCCTTAATTTTCATCCCTTCTCTATCTTAGGGCAAGCAGATTGTGTGAAATGTCTGATAAACCAAGAAATCGGCTTCTTACCAGCATTCTGTGAGCTCCTGATGCAGCGAAGACGTATCCCTCTCTTGAGGAAATAGGCTGTGATTTGAAAGCCATAACCTGTAAAGTGAAAGGGAATATCACACTAAGTTAAAAGTTTGTTTGCCACTAAATCTCAGGTTCGGCCCGGTGCCTGCCATATAAGATGCATTCAGTAATTATTTAGTAAATGAGGCTGCGCACGGTGACTCACGCCTGTAATCTCAACACTTTGGAAGGCCAAGGCAGGCGGATCACTTGAGGTCAGATGTTCGAGACCAGCCTGGCCACCACGGTGAAACCCTGTCTCTATTAAAAATACAAAAACTAGCCGGGTGAGGTGGTGGGCACCTGTAATCCCAGCTACTCAGGAGGCTAAGGCAGAAGAATTGTTTGAACCTGGGAAGTGGAGGTTGTAGTGAGCTAAGATCACTGCACTGTAGCCTGGGTGACAGAGTGAGACTCTATCTAAAATAATAATAATTAGTAAACAAAAGAATAAAGGAATTAACAGAGGGCTTCTCTTGAGAGGTAAGGGTGAACATTACTATCTTGCCTCTTCCAGGAGGCCTGACTATGACGCCTGGCATAGTCCCTACTCCCTGAAGTGTCTCAGCTACTTCAACTGTAAAATGAAATAAATGAAGAGGTCTAATGTGCCTGAAAATTAGAACTTTCAGATGGGATAATTCAATTGGAGCTTGCAAATAGATCTTAGCCACCTTCTGATACTCACTGCTTATTAGCTCATAAAAAGAAGCAGTTCATACCTATTTGAGCATGGATGTATTTTGCCTATAAATAAATTAATTCAAATATGTCAAAATCTTTATATAGAATGAGATGAAAAGAAATGTGACATGAGTAAAAAACTAATTTCTCCAACTCACCAGAGTGGCCTAAGTGAAAGAGACAGAGCATTAAGTGTTGGCAAGAATGTAGGACAACTGGAATTCTCATACGCTGCTGGCAGGAATGCAAATTGGTACAGCCACTTTGAAAAAAATGCTTGAGTATCTAAAGCTGAACTTAGGTATGAAGATACAGTGTTCACAATAGCACTCTTCACAACAGTCTCAACCTGGAACCAATGCAAATATCCATCAACAGTAAATTTTTTAATGGGGATACAGTCACACACTGAAATACTATATTGCCTCTAAAAATGAATGAGCTACAGTTACAGGTAATAACAGAAATACATCTCACAAACATAATGTTACATGAAAGAAGCCTGACCCCCAAGAGTAAATGCCATGTGTGAAAATGGAGACATTATCATTCATCTTACAGGGTGGCAACAGATTTTCAGATAGGTCACAGAAAGTGCCAGCTTAATTCCTTCCTCCCTCCCTTCCTCCTCTCTTCTGGCTTCCCTCCAGGTATAAACTACTTTATTGATGATTTTCCTAAAATCATAGTAAAACTGTTCCTGGTTATCGCAGTCAGCAGTCAAGTTATTTGGTAGAAGAATCAGAAGCAAAAGGTCCACCAGAGCAGGGTGAGGGTACCCCTGTGTCAAACTGGAGCGGCCAAGAGTTGCAGGAAGTAATCTCTAGGACTGTCAGATTCTCCAAAGTCCATGACTATGGTTGTTCTGCAATACCTTAGGTAAAGAATACAATTAAAGAAGTTTCCCCTTTCATATTCAGTATCCTTCTGACACTCCTGTAGAAAGACCCAGGACATCAGTGACCCCAGATTTGATGCTGTCTAAACAAGCGATGGTTCTGACAGAACAATTGCTTTAGTCATGCAGATTGTGCAATAACAGTGACATCTATGAAAGGATAATCTCCGGATTTACTGAGATAAAATATATTTTTTCCTAACACACTTGAAAATAGATTGCATTTCAGTCATGTGGCTTTCTTCTGCTTAAAATGTCAAACAAAATATACACACCACTGACATTACTCTGAGTGCTTTAAAACAAATATGTTATTTCTTAGGTCACTGAGAGAATGGAAGTCATTCCTACATCTGTTTATTTGTCCAACTGCTGAGGGAAGAAGTGGAATCCTTAACAATTTGCGACTCACAAACACATATAGCAAAATTTAAAAGTGTTTTTCAAGTATTAATTTATAATGCAAGTCTTCCAAAGAACTGAGAAAAAAATATATAATATCTAAGTTATTCTACCTTTGCTGACCTATAGGTCTAAGCGATTAAGATTCAGGAGGCATGTTCAAAATTTCAAAAATATTCTTCCTATACAAAATCTTTAGCAATAAAATGTTATTATCGGTCCCAGTGTGGTGCTTATGCCTGTAATCTCAGTACTTTGAGGGCCCACAGTGGGAGGATTGCTTGAGGCCATGAGCTCGAGACCAGCCTTCGAAACATACTGAGACCCCACCTCCATTCAAAAAATACAAAAAAACATTAGCTGGGCATGGTGGTACATGTCTGTAGTCCCAGCTACTCAGGGGGCTGAGGCAGGAGGATTGCTTGAGTTTAGAACTTCAAGGCTGCAATGAGCTATGATCACCACTGTACTGGAGCCTGGGCGACAAAGCAAGATCCTATCTTAAAAAAAAAAAAAAAAAATTATCAGGAAGGGGCTACATCTGAAGTTGACCATGAAAGCTACAGTTTTGAGTCCAGGAAGCCTGGTATCTGAAGATACTATTTGAGTGATAACTAAATCCTATTTGGACTGCTGAACAATCAAGTCTCAGTATGACACTTTCCCCTATAGAAAAAGAAAGCAGTAAAAGGCAGATTTCAAGTGATTTGTTACGGAAATTAGTAGGAGAAATTAGTTTATTGAAACCTTGACCCCTACACCTCCCACCCCTAGGACAGAACTAGGTTAAAAGGAATCATTTCTAAATGGCATATTGTTATTAGTGGTTTCAGTGGAAAACCTGCTCAAATGGCACCTACAAGAGAAATGGCAAGTTTAACATGTAAAAAAGATTTGCACCTGCTTAGTCCAAATTCCACTGGTCATATGAAACTTTATTGTTTAATGAGAAACTTAAGGAGAGATTAAACACAAAAGGTACTATGTCAGTTCTTATGGCAAACTAAATTTGATATACAAACAGAGAAAAGTATTGGTGCTTGAAACATACTGAACTGAAATGCTCAGGAAGATGTATTCCATTTATTTATAGATAACAGGCAATGATAAAGACTACATTCTTATCTTTGCTCTTAATGAAATCGCCTTCACAGAGTTCAGGAAGCCACTGAGATTTTGTACTTACCCAAGGCTAAAGCAAAGCTCCACTACTCTCTAAAGCTAAACAGCAATTTGGCAAAGAATCCAAGAGGCCTTTTGCTTTTCCTACTTGGGGCACTAGCTCCCAGCTTGTTATGCCGGCATTTTAAATGCAGAAAACTTGTCAGTAGAGCAAATGGAAATCATAAAGTGATCATCTTCTCCTTTGAAAACTACTGGATGACCGTATTAAGAGTATAAGGCACTTGCAAATCACATTTCAGTATGCCTGTTTTCTTGCTGGCGATTGTGGTCCTCCTAAATCTGAGAAGGCTGTCTTTAGACACAGGAAGAGACCTGGGTTAGAGGGAGAGAAAGCTTTGCAATAGAAACATCTTACCACCAGGCGTCTGTGGATATGTGCATTTCCAGAAACAATTGTTATTTTTATTTTTGAATTGCTTAATATAACACAATCATCTAGTTTCAGCAAGATCCCATCTTCTCCCCTGGCCCCCAAGCAGCCCCAAAAGTCTCCAGTTCTTGTGCCACCATTTGCTCTCTGTATGTCGTAAAAAGCTGTTGTACTTCTCCCTATCCTTCTACAAACAACCTCCAAAGCGGCAATGAAGCCTCAAATGATTACTTTTTACCACACTAACTTTCTTCTGGCTTACCTAAGTTGTTCATCAAAAACTATTAAGTCTCTTAAAAAAAAAAAATGGGGAGGTGATCAGTAATGCTTATGAAAGAAAGAAAGGACAAATGAGTCCTGCTACTATTTTATTTCATATTCTGTCTAAAATAAGCTGCTCCAAAATGGCTGTACTAGAAATTTGCAGTCTTCATAAACAGAAAGGCAAAAATTACGACAAAAAAACTCAAATATGAGTTGAACAAATTCCATCCTGGCTTAGCAAGGCAGTAGATTAGTTTCAAGTAGTACCGTGCTCCAATGAGTAATGGTTTTAAGGGAGGGGTCATTTATTTGGGTTGTTACAGTTCACAGTCCCAAGACACTGAGAGCAAATATTCAATGAGAGATTTTTACTGTAAAACTATCCAGCCTCACTTGTTTTCCAGGGGATTCATAGCCAAGGCGACTTGAGCTTCCCCACAGCTGCCAAGGGGAGTCTGTGGTCTGGTGCGTAACAGTGGGAAGCCCTCTCCCACAGCTATTACGAGACCATTCATGGAGGAGCCTGGGAAAATGCCTCTATGTGGCTTGGTGAGCCATCAGGACCTCTGGGCAGGTGAACTCTACTTCACTGTGGACCCCACCCACCACCTGTGTGGCTCTCTTCCAGCAAAGCCTCCTCCCAAACTACAAAGCAGGTTCAGGAAGACCTACGATGCCCCTCAGTACTTCTCTCCCTGAGATGACTCCTTCATTATTATCACCACTTAGATAATCTGAAACATTTCAAACATTCAGGAAATTAGAAAAGGTCAGGAACATCCCAAAACCCACCATCTAGATTCAATAATAGTTAATATTTTGCCTTATTTCATATACATATTTTATAAACTCTTTCAAAGTAGACATCATGAAACCTTACCCCTAAACATGTGAGCATAGCTCTTGAGCAACAAGGAAATCTTCCTTCATCACCACGACACTATTATTACAACTGAGTATGACATTATCGATCAAATAACCATCTATATTCAAATTTCTCCATTGTCCCAAAATGTGTATCACTGATCTGATTTTCCTTTGAATCGGATCCAACCAAAGATCATGGATTTTAAGAGATGTATTTGCTTACATCTTCTTTAATCTAAAATAATCTCCCTTTACCTTTTAAAAAAAGAACTCTGAACTTTGGAAGAGGATCAGGCTAGTTGTGTTATAGAACAAACCCACTGTACATTTGAATTTTTTTTTTTTGAGACAGGGTCTTGCTCT